TCAACATTTTAATCAGTTAAAGTTCTCATTTGTTAAAAGCAAGGAATTTGAGGCTTCCCTTACACTGTCTTTTTGGTGTTTAGACTGCACTCTATCCCTGTTCTTTCCTCTCTTTCATATTTCTCTCAGCATATATCCAGCAGGAGACACAGAGATGCAGTAGCAGGGAAGTCAAACCCACTAGTAGGCCATCACAAGAGCCTCGGCTCAGCAGAGCTCATGGTAATAACGTTTACTGTTTAAACTGTGTCAGTCTCATAATCATAAAGGTTCAGAACTCGTCATCATTGCTCCTCCTGTGATGATTGAACCTAATATGACATCTGTCCATGACCATTTAGACCTTCAGTAAAGATCATAAAGTAGAGCTCTTTACTTTTACGTAGATTTCAAGGATGTGTAAAGAGTGGTTCAGTTTTAATAAAGAACATCTCTCTGTTTTCTTTCTGCTTTACAGTACACTCTGTTATCCCATAAGGATTTGCCCAATTCATTCAATTATGGCCTCTTACCCAATACCATGGCAGTTGCTGCAGCAGCCACTTCATCCAATCAGCTTGTACTCTGTACTGCTGGACCCTCACCACACCTGTATCTCCCCATCATCCACACCACACAGTTTAATCCAACTCTCCTACGACCTGCCCTCAGGTCCATTTATTCTTCCCATAAGCCAGTCTTTTTCTCTCCTTATTGATGGACACCTGAGACAAATCATTACCTATAATTTTCAAATCATGTCACAGAGAGAGAGAACATTACAGAGGATCTCCTAGTGTGCATCTGTGCTGAGCATGTTCATGGAGAGAGGGCTGGAGGAACACGACTGTGCCACTCAGGGCTGGCTGTAGACTTTTGAGAGCCCTAAGCAGGACTTTGTGGGGCTACACATTTTAAACAATCTAAAAAATAAAAGCAGAGAGAATATATTTTTAAGCAAATATTGTAATGTCACAACAGTTAGCTTCCTAGTTGATGTACTGTATAATTAGAGGTTGACGCTAATAACAGTGACTACCAAAGCAGTCTAAATTATATACATTTATAACTGGCTAATCTGTGTATTACTGATGATTGGATGCTACCGCAGAGGGTACAATAAGCTACGATTTAATTTACAGATAACTTGCTCAGTCTTCTCTGTCCAGGATTTCCTGCTTAGCCAGCTAACTTTAAGCTTTGTTGGATCTAACCCTGGAATTTCTGTTGGGATACATCACCATGGCAACATATGCTGCTTGCCTATCCTGCACCAAGGACATTCGTACTAACAAAGTGGAGACAGTTTTGCCTTTTACTATTATAAAAGCTTTAATTAATACATATTTGCATAGTATGATTTTTTTTCCTTCATTGGTGGCATAACATTAATGCTTCAAATCAAGTAAACAAAGAAACAAACAAAAAACATAACTTTCCTGCATTTTCTCTTTTTCAAAAGTAACCTAAGCAACCATGTATGGCACTTATTAGGTGGAGCCAGCATTAGTGCTGCCACCTCTAAATTAGCATTATCGCAACAAATAGACAACACAACACAAAATTCAATGACCCGATCACATACATTAGATACTGCAGCACTAACATACTCATATGCAATTCATGCCACAATACACAAATCTCTGTATAATCACTCCTGTAATGAGGTTGCAAGTTTTTTATACCAAGGACTTTATTCCAGTACTTTGCAGTATCAGTGCCACAACTGTATGTAGCTGTTAAAGCAGATAAAGCAGATGAGTTGTTAGAATAGAATTTTCTTTGCTCTGCCCTGTGATCACATCATGAGCTTAATACACCCCTTTTCTCTTCTTGACAGGAACAAGAAGAATAAAAATAGGATTTATTCAGGTCTAGGCCACCCGTTCATAAAATGCTACAGTAATATTGGCTAATGTTTTCTACCTACTGCTTCATGCTAAAGACCTTGTTGGCTTGCCAGATTTGCTACTTAGCTAACTGTACCAGCAGCAGACATGTTACATCTCATTATTTCACTGGTTTTGATAAATCAGTCTTCTACACCATTTAATCCAGATCTTATGCCTCTCCTCTCATGTTGGTGAGAAATGGGTACAAATTCACTCCTCTCTCCAAACCTTTGGGATATTGGATATATTGCTGCATGACATCATCCTGTGGTGCATTATATATGAGCCATGAATGAGATACCCAAGAGAAGAGTAAGGAAAGTGGATGCTTATGATTGACTTTTAAAGCCATCATGATTCTCTGTGCAAACGTTCCAACTTCTCTATCCCTTCAGGTCAGATGAACAAATGATTTGAACTCACTGAACTTAATAATAGCTGTGGTAATGGCAAAGCTCCAAACATCCTCTAGTAGTTTATTCATTCCTGAAACACTTGTGGTTTGTTCATTTTTTTTTCTTTCTCACTTTTATTTCAACTGATTAAGTGTTGTTGAAAGTGAAATTAAATCTGCTTTGGTTTGTATACATGCTGTTTTATTCTTATTTCCATTTCCTTTTATCTACTTTGACCTTTTGTTCAAGAGCAGTCTGTGCAAAACCACATAGAGAGGGATATTGTAGTAAGGTAGCCGTGCATAAACCCCTCATTACAAAGACGAATGCACAATTCAGAGTTCAGTGGTGCAAAACCTTGAGCACTAGTCTACAGAGATGAGGAAAAAGTAATGTAGTCAGATCTCACAAGTGGGCTGGTGCATGTGTGGTGCAACAGTTTAACAAAAAATAAAAAATAATGTGTTGCTAAAAACAGGCAAGGAGAGGGAGAGAAAGAAGCTGAAGGAGACTGACAGGGCTGAAAATTCAAACAAGAAGTGGACGACAAGCTGACTTCAGCCTTATAAAAAGTTGAATATTGAGAGACATTTACAAGAAACTGTTCCCCTTTTGCAGAAAAATTCCTGCCAGAGATGCGAGAAAAGCAGCCATAGCTGATCTAAAGTTTAAAGCAGAGCAAAGTAAGTCTGCGTTTTCATTTACATTTTTTAGCCTATAGTAGTACATGTGCAAATACTGAGACATATTTCAGCCAAGACGGTAAAATGGACATATAATGTTGTAGCTCCCAAGGTGGCTTGATTTTTGTTGAAAGGATAAAATGGCTGAACATTTTGGATGCCGACCCCTGGTCTAGAACATGTGTTGCTCATATCTGCTCACTGTGAAAGATATGCAAAAGAAATATAATTGAAAGATATTGTAACAAAGAGGGTTCTATGAAGAAACTCAGAGTCGTTAAGGTTCTGGTCCATAACTTGGCTTTAATGAAAACTCAGCAACAGCGTACAAAACAACAGGGTACAGATGGCACTCAGGTCTTCATTAATCCATGCCTGGCATTAGGACCTTAATTAGAGCAATTATATATTTCGAACACATACATATACGTTTGGATTAGCATCAAAGCCGCTTGTGTTGAAGGAACTAGTACAAACATTGTCAATTTGATAAAACACCATCAACACATAATTCTGGGGGCTGTGGCTGAATTTGAAAACAGTCAAATCTGCTGCAGATGACTGAGCTCTGTTTTACAGTTTTACCTCAAAGGTGGCAAAGTTAGAGGGCAGACTGTTTTCCAGGCTTAAGTGATTGCATTAAAATCTCACTGAAAGGTGAAGGCTGGGGTGTATCAGTCACACCAGCAGGTAGTGATGTGAGCACAAGTGAACAGGTCCCACTCTAGAGTACATGTATCAAGCTCCAGTCCTTGCAGGCCAAAACACTGCAAACTTCAGCACACTCCCTCATTAAACACACCTGATTCAACTCATCAGTTGATTAGCAAAGCTTTCATGAACTGAATTCAAAACGTTAAATGAGGGTAAAAGTGAATCTCTGCAAAGCTTTGGCACGGAAGGTCCAGATCAGAAACTAAATGTTTGTATGTTGGTACAAAGAAAACCGTATTTTTAACAGTATTATTCAGACTCAGTAAACTCAGTAACTAACTCAATGAACAAAGAGCAAATTATGAGCTTGCACTTCTCTCTCTCTGTCTCTCTATCAGTGGTGGACGAAGTACACAAATCATGTACTTAAATTAAAGTAGAGATACCCAAGGTAAAATATTACTCCAGTGAAAGCAGAAGTTCCTCCCTTTAGACTTCCACTTAGTAAAAGTACAAAAGTATTTGCCTTCAAATGTACTTAAGTATAGAAAGTAAAAGTACTAAAAGATTAATAAAGTTATGTTGGAATAGACACTCCCAAAATTTTACGCTGCTGCATTGACGTTGGTATGTCCAACAGGTCAAAACAAGCTCAAAACAAAGTGCACGCTGTACACTGATTGGTGTTCTTCCTTCACACTTCTTTCGTTTTTACATGTTATTTTTTTCTACACACGTAAGACAAAAGGAACGACAAATATTGCATAATGTAGTGGAGTAAAAAGAGAGATATTTGACTTTGAAATGTAGTGGAGTGAAAGTAAAATGTCGCCCAAAATGGAAATACTTCAGTAAAGTACAGATACACGAAAAAAGTACAGTAACGAATTACATTTACTTAGTTACTGTCCACCACTGCTCTCTATCTCTTTCTCTTTTGCTCTCTCTCTCACTGTGTACCAGGCCCTTATGTTGCCAGAAAAGATTATTCCAACCTGAATCAGAATGCGGCACAGCCATTCTCAGTGCCAGCAACTTCAGTCCAACTCTCACATTAACACGTCCTCTGAGCTCATCATGCTAACATTTCTCATTAGGGTGGATGAAAGCTGAGCCTGGATCAGATCTGAAGAGTGGGGAGGGGGGGGCTGCCCTGAGGACCTATAACTCAATAAAAATACCTTGTGAGAAGTACAGTACATAAATAGAGATCATCTTATTCTGAAATGTTCTGTATGAAAGGGTCAGGAAGGGCAGGACTCATAAGTATAGCTGTCTCTGGGTGATCATGAATATAGTAATACGTATATGGTTTGCTAGAGAAACTGTGGTGTTCATTAGTGAATACTGTAGGATTATGAAATGATGGTGGTTTTATATGAATCAGGGATAATACAGTAGCGGCTTGTCACCCATTTGCAGGATGTGTATACTTCAGAGATCTGTATATTTATGTGTTTAAGGATAGAGACAGAATGAGTGTTTGACCAGTCTGTTTTCACTTCCCAGTTTTAAAATGAGTGTTTAATGGAAGTTAAAATGAATGATTATGTAATGTTGTTGAGGCAGTGAGATGTTCATTAAAGATGTTTTATTAGGGTTTGTCCAGGCAGAAGGAGTTAAAATGCAGAGGCTGATACAGTTAACCAAGGTGAATCCATGAACACAATCTGAAAACAGACAAGTTCTTGCCTGATTTAGGTCTTCCATGACAGACCGCTTACAATTTGTCATTGTAAATGTGGAGTTTTCTGAACATAGAAGAGTATAATATGGTGTCTCACAAGGCTCTGTTTTAGGGCCCTCAGTGTTGTCCCTTTATTTATAGCTTCTAGGATACATACAGGATAATACACAACATTGTTTTTTAGTTTTATGCTGAAAATCCTCAGTTATACATTTTACATTGAAACTTCTGCAAAAGGATCGCTTACAGCTCAGTTGGTGGAAGATCTTTGTCTTATATAGCTCCTGAACTCTATAATAGCATTCCAGACAATATTAGGAATGCCAGCACAATAGGTGTTTTAAAATTCATATTACATACAACATATGTAATGCAATATATTTATAACGTATTTGTTCGGGCTAGCATCTGCTTAGCAGGACTGTGGCTCATTTTCTCCTGTTTGCGATTGTGCTGTTATTTTCATTTAGAGCATAGTGTTTTTATCTTTCTAATGTTTTATTGATGTTCCTGTGTACAAAGGCATGCTCTGCATTGCAAGGGGTGAGGAATTTAAAGATATTTACAGGTACATGCAGTGTTCTTCTTCTTCAGTAGTGTTTAATAAAACAACGCATGTGTATTACCTCGTGCATTTTATAAACTTAAACTTATTGTTTTGGCCTACAAGGCCCCCTTTAATAGCTATGAAACTACAGCCCTCTAGTGGTAGTATTCTTGATTAATCTAAACACCCCACAGATTTTAGTACAAGCGCTGACAGAAAACAAATGTCTAAACATGAGACTTTTCTGAAAGCACACAGTGGTGGGGAGCCTGTAAGCCTGAGCTACAGCACTCAGGATTGCATGTTTCGCTGTCATTTGTAAAGTGCAGTGTGGGCAGAAACATTTTTGTTTTTGTAATTCAAAAAGCATGAACGGATGTTATTTTGCATGTATGTGTATGTGTGGGGTGTCCAAGGGTATAAACCTGATCTTAAATAATACTGCTCAGATTTGTGGTCATATGACCACAATAAGAATGATCAAATTCTTCATCAGGGGTTTTTCCGAACAATCTTAGCGAATAAAGAACAAAATAAAGAAGAACACAAGAAAATCTTCATAACCTGAAACTTAACAAATGACTCAAAAGAATGTCTTTGGTGACAAAAGTGCAGGAAAAAGCATCACTGGCCAAAAACTGAAGCATTGTTTTAATATCTACTTTAATAGGGTCATATCTAACACCTTAACTGTGGTTAAATTACTGTAACACAGGCCTAAAGTGACTTATTACTTCACTATTATTATTATTATTAACAATAATCATCATCATCATTTTGTGTTTTAGTATTTTATTTTACAGATATCTGTATTTTCTTTTAATATTATGTATTATGTATTTTGTATTAATGTTGAAATAAGTCCTGATGCAATCATGTGCACACAAAACAGCAGGCAGGAATGAGGCATAGGATCACATGAAAGACGCAGGCTGGAATTAAACACTTGAATGTGGTACAAAAATACCGACTACATTTCACAGGACCTGGCATAGAGACACAGACAGCTACAAAACAAGGGAGCATAACATTACATAAGGTTCTCAGTTCAAAAGAAAGCAAGGATCAGTGAATTTTTTATGATATCACATCAAGTTATACAAGGCGTGCGAAGCACCATGATAGCAGTGTACTAACCGCAGGGCTGGTCACATCATGGCTGGGCACATTTTCCAATGGAGTGAAAAACGGCAAGATCACACATTAATGAGAGCACAGGTTAACAAAAACCCAACAACCAATGAAACACTTTCCTATGAAACATATTTACCCCAATTAAATCTACATAAAATAGGACAGCTGAAATGTACATAATTAAAGAAAAGCGATAAAAAACCCAAAACATCAAGTATCGTAGCCAAAGCATACTACCATGGCAGACATTGATTTATTATTTTTTTTCATTTATATCTTACCTCTGATGACAAGGACACAGCATTTTTTTCTTTAAATTGAGTAGCTGACATTTTATATTTGGCTTTGGAAATGGTCGTTCTCTACTCTGTTGGGGTATCAGGTCTCACTTTCACAGATCGTCCACGTACATCTTTTGAATATCTGGATTTTAAGTTTCAAATTACCTTACTGATAAAAACCTGAAAGCTTGATCGAAGTGGTAGCAGA